GCACTTACTTACATGCAGGCAATACACACATATACATAAAATAAAATTTAAAAAAAGTTTTAAAAAGACAAACCATGAAGGATTTTGCCAAAGGAAAATTAAGTAAATATTAAGGCAAAGAGAGAGTAAGTAAACCAGAAAGAGCAGGTGTCTGCAGCCCGAGTGCCAGGGCCAACTCTGTCACCAACGTGTTCTGAGGAGCTGGCAGTTACTGATGATGTCATCAGCTAACAAACTTCTAAAACATGAAATTCACTAGTTTTCAAGCAGAATCCCACTGTGACAGGTAAAATATTGGAAAAACTTAAGTCACTCAAAAAAATGATAAGTACCAGCAACAATGTTAGTCACAAAGCTTCCAATCACAACACACACAACCACCAACAGGAATTCATAACACAAGGACACTCTTCAGATAATCTGAAAATCCAGAGCTGTAGGATGGGCTTTAACATGAATTAAGCAAGAGATTATGGTCTTAAGACTCCCAGCGAAGATGATGTTAGACAAGGCTGGTAGGTCTTCAGACCAAGTCTTACAAAGCCCTAGAGGCAAATTACAGAGAAAGGGATAATCAAGAACTCCATGGGGGTCTGGAGAATGGCTCAGTGGTTATGAGTGCTTGCTGCTTTCCTAGTGGTTCAATTCCTGGCACCATGTCATGTAGCTCACAACCACCCTTTAACTCCAGCCCCAGGAAGAACCAACAGTTCTGGCCTCCTCGAGGACCTCCACTCATGTGCAGAAACCCATACATATAATTTTAAAAAACAGCAAAAAGAAAAAGAAAAGAACTCCAGATATGGTAGTGAACACATATAATCCAAGAATTCATGAGACAAAGGCAGGAGGATCATTCCTAGTTGGAAGCCACCCTGGTCTATTACAGTAAGTTCTAGTTCAAATAACTCTTCCACTTTTTCTATGTTTAAATCTCAGAAGCACAGATGACCTTAAACAAAGTACCTCAGGATAATCTTCTAAAATCATAAAAGTACATAGGAACATATGTCTCAATACAAATCCAACCCACTTTAATTACTTTATTAAAAAATAAGGGGCTACAGACATGGCTCAGTGATTAAGGGTGTCCCCTCCAGAGGTCACAAATTCAGTCCCTAGCACCCACTTCAGGTGGCTCACAGCCACCTGTAACTCCAGCTCCAAGGGATCCAATGCTCTCGTCTGGCCTCTGTGGGTATCCACTCACATGAAACATTTACTCCCAATCCCACAGACACACACATATATACAGAAATTAAGAAATAATAACAAAAATAAATGTTTTTATATAAGTTAAATAAGAGGTAAGAGGCATTGAGACAGTGATAAACTTTTTAAATTACCCAGAGCCACTTTCACTGAAGTAGTTAAGGACACTAATAAGTAACCATCCAATTCTACTGCTACCTTAAAATAACATTCAAGAAAAGACCTGCTTTTAACAGCTCAGTTTATACATAAATACAGATTAATGTTACAGGCTATCCTATATTCCCCTAAAAGACAGGCTGAAGCCTTAACCACCACCATGTGAAAATGGGGGCTTTGTTAGAAGGAGTCATGCCAGGCATGGTGGTACACACCTTTAATCCCAGCACTCAGGACACAGAGGCAGGCAGATCTCTGTGACCAGGTCAGCCTGGTCTACATAGTAAGTTCCAGGGCAACCAGAGCTATACAGTGAGACCCTGCCTCATTTAAAAAAAAAAAAAAAAAAAAAAAGGTCATTGCAGATGAAATTACTTGGGATGAGATCACAGTGTTATAGATGGGCCCCTAATTCAACAGAACGTGGCCCCACTTAGAAGGATCCTGGGCTCCAGGGAGAATACTTCTGCTGGCTGAGAGGTTCACCCCAGAACCCTAGGCAGCCTCTATGGCTTTGCCGCCCCACCTACCTGGTGCACACAGATGTTGCATTTGTCACAGAATACCATCTCATTGCCATCCTCACCATCAGGTGACTGGCAAACATCACAGACAACATCTTCATCATATTCAATTCCCAGCCCCTCTTCTGTCTCTATGGCATGATTCATATTATCGTAGCATCGCTGTTCAAATTCCTCTAGGACCCTTTCCATGGTGTACTCATCTAGTTCAGGCATCCCTATAGGAAAATACCACAGAATTCACTTTGAGTAAGAGCAGATTAATAATAGTTATAATGAAACAGCATTAGTATATTTAAATAAATAACTTAAAACAGAGAATAAAAGTAAATGTGAGGGCCACCACAGAATTTTCTATTGAATGACTCTGAGGCCAATTCACAGAAAAACTCTTCTACTCCGGTTTATTCTTTATAGAAGAAATAAGAGAATCAAAAAAATGCATCAAAAAAATCCAAGGATATTAAATATGTACACTATTAATTGTGTCATTCAACTGCACACTAACATGTGAAAGTGACTTTGAAAGATTGGTCAACATTATCATGGAGTTTGGGTTTCTGTTTCTGGTTGTTTTGTTTTTTAACTTTCCTTTCTTGGTGCTTACAACAGAGCTCTGAAAGCAGATGTCACAGCAAACACTCAAATGTCTTTAACTGGCTTATCTCTCTACAGTCTGAATTCCACCAAGTTAAAATGCATAGTTAATCAGATACATGAAAAGCAAACACAAGGAATGTCTGGAGCAAAGAAGCCAGTTCACTGTGAATCAAATAAAATACACTCTTCTACACGAATGATCAAAAAATTGAATATACTTACTGCTACGGAAAGGAAAACAGGTTCTAAAAACTTAAGAGTCAGGTATGTGGCACACACCTGTAATACCCCATGAGAATAAGGAGTTCTGGGCCAGCCTGAGCTACATTAGTGACCCTGTCTCAAAAAATAAACCAAAGCAGAAAACCCCAAACAGGATATATAATCTTAAAAGGGGGGGAGAGGATGTCATTAGAGCCTACAAACTTATACCCATTATCATAAACACTAAAATCATCAAATTTTTTTTCAAGTTTTTAAAAGTCTGAAAGAGCTGGAGAGATGGCATAGCAATTAAGAGTGCTTACCACTCTTGCAGAGAACTGGAATGTGGTTCCCAGCACCAGCATAAGGCAGCTTACAACTGCCTGTAACTCCAGCTCCAGGAGATCTGATACTGCACAGGCACCTGCACTCATGTGCACATATACCTACATACAGACACGCACGCATATACACCTAAATATGGAGAACCTAAGAGTTTAGAGTGATAAGCATCACACACATTCAAGAAGTCACCAATTTAAATTATGGAGTGATTTCATAGCCCACACTTTCATCCAAGTTCTTCCTACTAACTAGTTTTGGAAACACCACTGATTTTCCTTCACTCTATTAATTAAACAGGTCAACAGCAGCTGGGACAAATACCTTTAAAAACTTGTTCAAACTACATAAATTATTTTGCCAAAATATTAACTTATCTCTAAATGCACTAGCCAAGATCTTATTATTTAAACCATTAGCAAAGCCCGAAAGTCTTCAGGCCGAGTCTTTAAACATGACACTGGATACCTAGAACTGGCAAGTACTTTACACTGTCTTTATAAAGCTGCTCAAAAGACAGATCTGAATCATCTACAAAGGTATAATATAGGATTCAGTTACAGAAGATTCCCAAAAGCATCTAAATGGCTTCTATAATGGCTTGCTAATGTTCTGTCCACAAATATTTAAATCAGGGACTAAGAGCAAGAAAATCTACTTTTACATCCAAATAGCTAACAAGTAGGAAATACTGACGTCCCCAGTGCAGTCAGTCATTCCCATTCAACTGGCTGGTGAGTTCAACAGCAAGACAAACTTCTACCAGAAGCCAGGTGAGGTAGGCTCCACAGGAAACACAAATGTGAAAGGTCCTTGCCCTTCCTATCTTCAAAGTCAACCACATCAAACACGTGACTTCATTATGTGCTAGACTGTAAATAACCCAAGCTACCACTTCCCCACCCTGCACCCAATACAAACATAGTCTTTCACACTAAATCCAAACTGGACTGCCCTGAGTCAAGATCACAGTCTTCAAGGCAAGGCAACAACCCTGGGAGAGGAGAGCTGCCATGCAAAGAACCCTATTTACCATCTGTTTCCACACCATGAAATGCAGGTAACTGAGATATTAACGGTTCAACCAGGAAACAGACCATCATGGGCTGGGCTCTCAGCTAAAGTCAAAGAAAGCTAGTAAAGAGATAAAAAGCCAAGAGGCTTGTGGGGCTCACTTTGAGAAACAGCAAGCTGCAGGTACAGAAGGAACCAGAATGGCATCCCAACAGAAAAAGCGCAAGAGCAGGCCACCGGACCAGATTCTGTCATTTCAGTTCCCTGGGCTTCAGTCCCCATAAGGTAAATAAGGGGTCAGAGCAGAGCAGGGACAGGAATCCAGGGGACCTCAGCCAAATGAGCCCATGATTCCACACCCCTGGAACCATCCTTTATCAGTCCCCCACTATTCTAGGAGCCTCAAGTGGACTTTGCACGCATCTTATCACACATGCCACAGCTAGACAATTCAGTCTCCAAAGAGCCAGGATTCTGAGATGAAAGGGGCTTATATGATTCACCTACAAGCCTAAATAGCTATTTCTTCATTGTGAGTTAATGAAATAATAAACACATAATCTCACCCATCTCCTTAAATTCTTCATTGGTCAATTCCAGCCACGCAGCATCCATGTCGTTAAGGTCATATCGACACACGCTGTCCGCCAACGTCCGGATATCAACATAGCCCAACTCTGGTGGCTCTGAGCCTGAGGACACGATGTATTTCTTGGGCTTCAGGAACATGAGGGATTTCTCTTCAGACACAACCCTGGTTAACAAGAAAGAGAGGCAGATCGATTATGCTTTCTGCCATGTTTACGGGAAGTATGAGAGCTTCCTCCTCCCGTCCTCAAGCTCAAACCATCCCCATGCTCATACAGACAGCCGTGGGCTTACAACCCAAACGTCAATAACACCCTCTAGCACATCGCTGTATCCTGCCACCATTTATGGCTCCAATATTCTACTGCCAACCTCAAAAAAATAAATTTTCAAGAGTTACGTTTTTAAATCCCTTTCCATTAAGGAGGCCTACTCATTTCTCCTGGAGGTCATTAGAACAAGAAAGAGCTCATTAAGTAATGAGTTCTCAGAAACGGAGGCAAGAACAGCCATTCAAGCTGGGTGTACACAGTTCATGCTGAGGAACAATGGGGACACCTCTCAACTGTCACCTTCCAAAGACTTAAGGAAAAAAAAGTCAATTGTTGCCACTGCTAAAAGTTCTAAGAGCAGGTTGGAGACATGGCTCAGCGGTTAAGAACACTGACTGTTCCTGCAGAAGACCTGGGTTCGAATCCCAGAACACACATGGCAGCTAACAAACTGTCCATAACTCCAGTTCCAGGGGATCTGACAGCCACTTCTGTCCTCCACGGGTATTGTACAACACAGTGCACTTACCTACATGCAGACAATACTCATACACATAAGTAAAAAAATAAATAATTTTTTTTTTTTAAAAAAAAGAATTCTAAGAGTAAGATCTGATCCACTCTCTAGGAACATATGATCCCAGAACAATTTCTTCTTCTTCTACTGCCACTCCCAACCTGTTACCACCTGGTAAAGTAATTTCCACCTCACCCTAGTCAAACTAAGGGACAGCACATATGAGGAACAAACTTGTTCCAGCTAGGAGCTAAGGGTACTCAGCTCATCAGAGGCCCTGAAGTCACAGTCCCTCCACACCTGCATTCAGCAGTACACAGTCACATCAACAGGATGCCCAGAGTATAGATTTTTCATCACCCTGAAATTAGATGGATGAACTTATCTGTGTGACAGAGTCAGGTGAACTGACGGTATTACTTTCTCCTACTTAAGCAAAACCCAGTGTTAAATGAAAAGCTCCAATGTTGTCCAGGTTTGGTGCTTTCATCCTGGACTCAGCACCATATGGAACCATGCAGCACAGTCTTCCTGGACTCACAGCCTGCTAGTGCTGGTGAGTGGGGCTATGGGCACCCCAAGCCCCAGAAGGCACCCCAGGTTCCACAGGCCAGGACTCTCCTCTGTAGGAATCAGTGACCCCTGATGGGCCTATGCCTACCTATCCACAATGGACTGCAATATGATTTAAACATTTGTCACCATAGTGCACTCCTCAGAGATCTCAAAATGACAGCAATCAAACCAATCAAGTGCCTGGATCACACAGAGTGAGGGCCAAGAGGTAAATTCAGTCTATATTTGGACATTATGAAAGAGGTCATTTCACAAAGCAGGGAGCCAACAGACACTATGGCAGCAAAGCCAGGTGCTGGCAGAGTTCATTAGGCACTCCATCCTCTCTGAAGACACACAAGGCCAAAAGGAACTGCACAGTAATAAAGTATACCAACTCACCACAGCCTGACTCAGAGACGCATCAAGGAGGACATGCTGTGAGAGGTGATTTGCCAGTATATCCAGAGAAAGCATTAGCATCTGGAAATAGTCTGTCCATAGGAGAACTACTCAAATAAATTCCTCCTTTAAAACCCTAGCCTAGCAGGACACCTCATTCACCCTCCTAAAGAGGAATCAGCCACTACAGGCCTGAGAGGCACCAAGGCTGAACACTGCTTCCATAAAGCCACTCTCCAGAGTCACATGGAATGCACCAAGAGGAAACAACCATGAACATCAGACTGCCTCCAGACAACCATGTCCCCAGCAAAAGAACACTTCCCAATGAAGGTGTGCCAAGGTTAGAGGCCCACTGCCCTCTGACTTACTACCCTCTGTGCTTAAACTATTTTTACCATGTCTTCACTTCCAGTGAAGTTTCACGTTATTGCTCTGCTAACTCAGGAACTGTCTCCTCTCGTGCTCCTGGCTGACAGGGAAAAAAGGCATCAGTGGGTGGAGAAGCACATCTCCACTCAGGGCATGTGTACCTGGCCACAGGCTGCGGGATGGTCCCCGGGCTCACGGGCACCTGGACGCCTTTCTCCCATTCCTGTCTCCAGGGATCTGCCAGCACATAGTACTCATCTGGGTTCAGCTGATAGGAGTCATGCAACTTCATGGCAGTGATCAGGTCGGTCCTAAACACCTAGGGCGAGAGAAAGGGACACTGACATTTGGTGTTTACATTCTTTACCAGGGAACTGGCAGCTGCAGGATAACTGTGAAGCTGCCATAACAAGGTCACTGTATCTACACAGAACAAGTGTGACCTATTATGGAAACCCTTCACCTGACACTCCTTTCCTCTCACCAAGGCCTGGGGTGGCAGCAGCAGACAGAATACTGCCCCCCAGCTCCCTCGGTCAACAAGAGGAGCAGCAGCAGTGACTACATCAACATCAACTGTCCTCCTCCTTTCCAATGTTCAAGAACTCTCAATTCACCAAGGGCTGCTGAAATCCCACAGGCTCTTGGAAATCCCTCAGAGGCAACAGCTCACTCAGAGGTGCTCTTTGGCTCAATATTTAGAAACAAAGCTCTATTAACCACTTAACCTCAAGGCAAAGACTAGAACTACCAGGAAGGTCCCCAACTTCTATAGCACTTGCTGTCAGCCAGCCTTCCTTCCTGAAGCACCAGGGTTTAGAGCAAGGTGTCTGGTGAGAGCAAGGTCCAGGTTTGCTAGTGCCAGACAGAGATACAAGCCTGTAAAAATCTAGGCATGAAGTTACAGGCCACTGTGGTGCCAACTCAGAAGATGGCATAACTTCTACCCAAGAAGCATTATTTGTGGAGAAGAACCCTGTCCTCATTATGCAGACAGACTGTAGACCCAGTTCTAGTCTGGCCCATTTACCAAAAAAGCAAAAGCACCCCAACCTCATCATAGACAAGAGAAGGAACCAGCAGGAAAGGCAGCAGTTGCCCCTGCTCCTCTGTGAACTCATGGGCCCTTGATATCCACAACAACAAGGACCGTCTGCCAGTCAGGACTACATAGCTGCTTCCCTCTCCTGTCTTGTCCTCACATATACAAGTGCATATGGAAGCCCTGACCTTGATATGAGCCGGCTCTGCCTTATATCTGGCACAGTGTAAGCCTATATGAGTAAGCTGGCCTCTGGGTATATAGCTGCAAGGCTGCACTACCTCACTCAGGACAGGGAGCTCTTTTTTTCGTACTGCTAGGCATGGTTCACATTGTATGCCTGTTAGCTTTTCAGGCTGGTGATCTCTTTAATAAACGCTGCCATAAGAAAGTGGGGTAGGGTCTAAGAAAGGCCACTTCTTTGGCTGTCACTTTAAACACTGGCTTCCCCCCCTCCAGGAAGCCACTCATAACTTCTACAGTGCCATTAGGAAGTAGCCTGGCTGTGCAACTTCTGCGAAAACCACACAGGACATGGGGTCGCATCAAACACCAAACCACTGAACCTGGTCATCAGCCCAGTTGCCACCCCACCCAAAGAAAAGACCGTTAAAAATCAAACTCAACAGTCTAAACTCCTCACAAAGCAAATCAAATAAAACAGATTCCAAACAAGCTGTACAAGGAAAAAACAAACAAATTCACCAAAGAAACGAAATCAGACTGAAGCAAGGAGGTAAGAAAAGGCAGCCCATCATTCCTACATACATAGTTGGGGAAGGCTCTAGTCAAACAGATGCTCTTGAGTGGACCAAGCTCTGAGTTGCGGGCAACATACGTGCTTTAACTCGAAGAAACTTACAAAAACCAAGGGCAAGGACAACGTGTGGTCCCTGCTGCTCAGAGGGCCCTAATCGCATTCCTATGCTGAAATAACAGCAGTACAGTATGAACATCAGAAAGACACTTTGGGAGTTATGGACACAGTTCATAAATTAACAAGAGAATTAAATAGAGCTGCAGAGATGCTCCAGTGCCATAAAAAAAAGGAAGCAAGCACTATAGGCCAAAATGGACACGAGGCCTGTGGCAAGCCAAGGGGATAAAGGAAACATCCCATCATATCTTTCTATAGTGAAGTGCTTCTGAAACAGGTCTCTGCTACTTCCTTATGGAGGGCATTAGTGACCACCAAGGAACTCCTCCACTCATGGGCAAAGCATACTTCAATATCCTGCTAGAGCCTGGGAAGGCCCTCTGAGAAACACCTGCCACTGGTGTGGCCATCATACCATAAGCTGACTGGGGTCATCCCACCCAGAGGCGTGCAAAGCCAGAGCTCAGCCAGAAGCTTTCCCACAGCTTTCCCTGGAAAACCATGACAGACTGATATGCCGGGATTTGAATTCTCAGAGTCCAGCAAAGGTTACAGAGAAAGCCAATTTCAGGACAATGAGGGCCCTAAACAACCATGGCCAGCAGAAGGATGCCCCTAAAAACAATTTTAGATAGAATGATGAACAACAAAATGCAGGGAAGTAGGGAAACATAAAATGTGAAACAGATTGGGAAAGAGGGGGGAAGCCTTAAGCATAATCCCCAAAACAAACTCCCAGAATTACATTGGGTTGTTGCCAAATAAGCCACAAATTCATGGCTAAAACTAACTTGAGGCTGGCAGTGACTTGGCAGCAGCTGAACCCGCTCATCTCCTGGCCAGAGGAAAAGTTGTTGAGAGCCAACGAAGATGGAACAGGAAAGGAAAAAAAGAATACAATTAATAATAATAGCTAACATTTACTGCACACTATGTATGTGCCAAGAACTATCACGTGCTTTCCATGTATGAGCCTCTACGTATTAACCCACTTATTCCTTCAGAGAATCCAATGAGGTGCACACCTGCTTGTCCCCATCTTACAGGTATGCAAAGTGAGGCACAGAGATTAAGTAACTTGCCCAGGCCTGCACAGAATGAGGCAGGCATGTGGGCAGCAGGTTTTCATGCACAGATGTGATCGACATGCATGGTGCGGCAAACATTCAGGAAGTACCTCTGAAGGCTTTCGATCTTCATGCCTGGAACAGGAACTCCTCCTGTGCTGAGATCGAGAATTCTGAGACCATGTTGTTGACAGGCCTAAGGAAACAAATATTCAAATAGTACCCATTAAAAACTGCAGAGTGGAAATGGTTCAGTGGATAAAGTACTACCTAAATAAGCATAACGACCTTAGTTTAGAACCCTAGAACCCACATAAAAAGCAGAGTAGTATAGCAACGCGCACCTGAAACCCCAGCGTTAGGGGGGCAGACAGAGACAAGCAGATCCCAGGGGCTCAATGCTCAGCCAGTCTAGCTTTAACTATGAACTGCAGGTTTAGTGAAAAACCCTTTCTCAAAAAGTAAGGTGGTGTGGTGATGCACACCTCTAATCCCAGCACACAGGAGGCTGAGGCAGAGGTAGGTGGATCTCTGTGAAGTCAAGGCCAGCCTTATCTACATAGCAAGTTCCAGGCCAACTGAGGCTACAGGGAGGCTCTGCCTCAAAAAAAGTAAGGTAGAGAATAATAAAGGAAGACATTCTATCATCAACCTCCACATGTGACCACCTAAGTGAGCATACCCACACACACACACACACACACACACACACACACACACACAATCCCCTTTAAAAACAGCCTGCAATGCCCACCCCTGGCCCTCAGAGGGTTCCTTTACTCCTTCCATATCCCAAATAGGTCTAAAGTAATCACTGTGGGCTGCTGTGTGTAAGACACCCAGGTACAACACATAAGGAGAAAAAATTACAGAACACCCTAGGGAGTAGAAGTCTGCACTCAGACAGTCAAGGTCCCGGGGGCTGGAGAGATAGCTCAGCGGTTAAGAACACTGGTTGTTCTTGCAGAAGACCCGGGTTCGAATCCCAGCACCCACATGGCAGCTAACAACTGTCCCTAACTCCAGCCCCAGGGAGGTCAGCCTCTTCTGACCTCCACGGGCATTGCACGACATGGGTGCACTTACCTAGATGCAGGCAATACACAAATACACATAAATAAAAAAATTTTTTGAAAAGATATTCAAGGTCCCATATTAGTACAACAAACTAGAAAACATCCCCTGAGTTTTCAGCAAAGTGTCTAATGCCAGGATCACTAGGCTAAACCTTAAGGTGATGCATACCCAGGGGAGAGCTGTGTTCTTACACTAAGTTCCCTCTGGACTCACCCCAATGACACCTTGGTGGTAGATATCAACCTCAGAGTGACAAAACCCAAAAATATTTAAAAAAAAAAAAAAAAAAAAGCCACCAGTGAAATCATCCATCACTCAAACAAACCCTTATCACCACAGAATCTGTACACAGACACAGGCCCAAACTTAAAACATAGATTCTGTACATAAGCCTATCATCGGATTTGCAATGACCATGACTGAAGGGAATTGCAGAATTCTGACAAGAAAGGTCTCCATGCTACTAAGCATTAGTTTTGAGGCCTATTACTATGTCAACCAACTGCTGTCACTTTCTCAAAATTAGACTCCTAACAGATGACTCATGATAGTTCAGTGACTAACTCAGAGGATCTTTCTCCAACTCTTAAGTGGGGCTAGGGGTGTAGCCCAGTGGTACAGTGCTTGCCGAGTACTCTCCAGGCTCTAGGTTCTAGCCCCAGCACCATACACAACAGTAACGGTAATAAAACCCCAAATGAACAAGAATGCCTCACTGTCACACTGGAAATGCTATGGGCACACCAGAGTAAGTTAGAAATCCTAAGGCTAGCGATCACTGGAAAGAGGAAATGGCTGGGTGGCTTCTCCAGTGAAGTCTCTAGCACAGGACTTCTTAAACCTTTTCCACTTACAACCTTGGTTATATAGGTATATAAAATACGTATTTAAAAAAATCAAACATTTACTGACCATAATCAAAAGAAATTCATCTCAAAAGGAGTCTTTAGTATACAAATAATTTTACTATTTATTGAGAACAAAAGCAAATTTGTGTATTTATGAGATGAATGTGCTTATATATTTTTATATAAAGGAGTAAATCTTGGCTAAATAATTGATATGGCAGAGCATAGAACATCTAATTTTTTTTAAGTTTTTGATTACTGCATTCAGAAACCTATTACTGTTGCCATGCTCATGACCCCCACATTCAGTTATATGTGGGATCAAAACTCAGTTTAAGAAGTTGTGCTATAGCAGTCCACAGGCTAAAACAAAAGGAAAAGAACACGAGTCTAAACAGGATTCCGAGAAGGCCTAGGATGGGAAAAAGAAGAGTTGGACTGAAAGTGATGATCTCTTTTCCTATTGTTTTCAGAAAAGGTGCTAAGGATGGACCCCAAGGACCTGTACATGCTGGGTGTCACTAAACTATATCCCCAGTCTAAACCTTTAAATTACTCAGGAAAGTGATACATTTGGGAATAAAACAAGCAGCTTTAAAATAGGCAGAGTACGGTGGCTCACACCAAACAATCACAGCACTCAGGAGGCAGAGGCAGAGGCAGGCAGATCTCTGTGAGACTGAGGCCACATGGTCTACAGAGCAAGTTCCAGGCCAGTTAGAGCTACAGAGACCCTGTCTCAAAAAAACAAAAAAAAAAAAAAAGGAGGGGGGATCATTCCATTGCTATACTTTAAACATGACTCTAAGGTAAGGAGTGGAGAGTCCTTTCAGCAGAAACAAGCAGTCTGTCTATTCATTCTTGGGTTTCATGACCCTCTTCTATCTTCTTGAGATCTGTCAGGTTCCTATCCCCCAAGAAGTTCCAAGCTTCCTTGGAACCTTGGTGTTTTGCGAGTTTAGAACGCAATCCAAGCCAGCACTCGGCCAGCCTGGTCTATATAGTAAGTAAGTTCCAGGCCATCTGGGGCTACAGGGAGACCCTGTCTCAAAAAGCCCCCGACCCTGCAAAAAAAAGGAATGCAATCCAAGTAATTACACTAGGAAACCTTTCCTGGGACCGCTTTATAAATCTCAGAAATCAATGTCTATATCACATTTGCTTTTAAAACAGATATTCAAAGTTGCTATAAATATGGCACCCAGTACTAACCAGGAGTAATTCTAGCCTGGTATGGTGGCTTACACCTCTAATCCCAGCACTGAGAGACACTGGCAGATCTCTGTGAGATCAAGGACAATCTGGTCTACAAAGCAAAATCCAGACCATTTGGGGCTACATAGTGAGACCCTATCTAAAAAAACAAAGTAAGAATAATTCTAGTCCCTCCCCCAAAACAGTTGGTTCCTCCTATTTTTACCCTGATGTTGCTAAAATACAGAAGGAAAAAAAGAAAATCAAAGTTAATCCTATTAAACTTACTTTGCCAAAGCGAAAGACTGGGAAGCTATTTAAATTTAAATTATCATTGGCATAAGCAATGTTCTCTGTAGCTCATTTACAACAACTAAAAACCAGAAACAACCTAAAAAGCCACCACCAGGCTATAAATGGACAAACACATTATGACACATCCATTCAATGGAACACTAGCCAGCAATAAAAAGGATTTCCTTATTAACAGACCTCTGCTTCAAGTAATCTGGATAAATACCAAATAATTACATTGCATGAAAGAGGTCAGACCCAAACAGTGCACACTGTACCATTCTATTTATGCAGAGTTCTGGAAAATGCAAACTAATCTATAGTGACAGCAGATCAGTGGCTGCCTGGAGGAGAGTTGAGAGGGCAGATTATTTTTATTTTAATGATACAATGCATGAAAACATGGCTAAACACTTCCAAGTATACAGGTAAATATGTGCAGTTTGCTTTACATCAATTATTCTTTACAAAGCTCTTATACAACTATTATCATTGAGACATTACCCATTCACCAGAAAGGAAAATTCTGTTTCACCTTCCACTGGAGATGTTACAAAGCCTAGACTTGACTACTGACCCAGGTTAGCGTCTGGGACAGAGACAGAGCCTGACGAAGCTATGTGGCCTCCCCTGTTTGGTAGCAGACATTGGGTACAGGTGGCCTCTTCCTCCTGATTTTCCTGCTCACCAAAACAGTCACTATTTCACAGGCATAAGGCAAGTACAAGGCACAGAATTTACAATAGAATTCAACTCAGTTCAAAATGCACACAGCAAATTCTCAGTTTTTTGAAAAGTAGGCAAATTTTTTATGTAAAGTGTTGTTCAGGAATGTCACTGAGTCTTGCTCTAAGGAAAACCATCACAGGAAGCCAAGAACTGAAGATGGCAGGCACAAAAACATAGTCCCATTTTAACTAATATGAAGAAGCTTTTGAGCTCCAGGAAAATAAAATGACATTCAACAGTAGATGGGTCAGGACCACTGCTTTCTGTGTAGAATGCACCTCCATCCACAACATACTCTGGAAGTCAAAAAGACTCAAGTTACTACCTCACTATTATTACAGCAGTACCCTCCCAATACCACCCTCTCCAGGTGGGGGGATTCACAATATTACCAAAACAAAAGCATTTTGTGGATGGGTGTAGTGGTGCTCATCAGTAATTCCAGCAACATGGGAGACTAGAGCAGGAATATTCCTGAGTTTGAGACCAGCCTGGGCTATATAATACCAAGACCCTGCTTTTAAAAGTCTATGCATGTGGTGGTTTGAATGAGAATGTCCCCCATAGGCTCCAAGTATTTGAACATTTTGTCCCCACTTGGTGGTGCTGTTTCGGAGATCTTAGAAAGTGTGGCCATGCCGGAGGAAGCATATCACTGGGGGCGAGCTTAGAGAGTTCTTAAGCCTTGCTGGACCTCTAGTTGCTCTCTGCTTCCTGTGCCTGCTTGAAGATGTAAGAGCTTAGCTTCTGCTCCTACTCTGGCTACCTCTGCAGCCCTGACTCCCCACCATGATGGACTCTTGCCCCTTTGGACCCATAAGCTAAATAAACTCTTCCTTTTGTAAGTTCCCTTGGTCATGACGTTTCTATCACATCAACAGAAAAGTAACTAATACAATGCATTTCTCATCAATTAAAAAGTTTATGGCATAAAATAGTTTTGGAAAGGGAGGGAGGTTGTCAAACCAGAAAGGAGATGATTTCAAAGACTGTAAGTGATTTATTCTGTAACAAAAGACCAGGTACTTGTTCAATACTATACAAAGACTATGTAGAATTGCTGTTCCATTTTGTTTTCATTTCCACAAATACTGACAGTTAAGGACAGACTATATATAAGAATATGACAAGTAGCTAGGCATGGTAGCTTCTGCCTAAAATCACAGTACTTAGGAGGTGCAGTCAGGAAGATCAGCAGTTCAAAGCCATCTGTCCTCAGTTACATGGAAATGTTTGAGGCCAGCCTAGACAGTATGAGACTCTGTCTCAAAATAAAGAGTATCGTAAGTTAATTTTTGTTTCATTTTCTTCACCACCACGAAAAAAAAATTTGGTAAGAAATTATGTCATTGGGGGCTGGAGAGATGGCTCAGTGGTTAAGAGCACGAACAGCTCTTGCAGAGGACCCAGGTTTGATTCCCAGCACCCACATGGCAACTACGAACCGTCCTTAACTCCAGTTCCAAGGGAATCCAAAGCCCTCTTCTGACCTCCGTCGCACTGAACAACACGGGTACACTCACATACATGCGGGCAATACACTCATACACATAAAATAAAAATACTAAAATATTTTTTTGAGAGATTACATCATTCAAGAAAGGTTCTGAAACCAGAATAAATGGAAATTGTGTTCACATCACCACAAACTCTAAAAGAACCTCCCTGCTGCCAAAGGTGACTCTCCAAGGCTGAGACACGATGACGCAAAATAACATGTTTCTGCCCTTAGGAGCTTTACATGTAACACAGTGGTCTAGCAATACTGAATGCCACAGACCAGTATCACAGCCATCAGTACACAGATCTGACACATGGCCCTGGACAAGAAAAGCAATTTGAAATTAAGCAAACCTAAAGTAGCTGCTGGTTCTTAAAAAAAGAAAACCCTCAGAAAGGGGGGGGGTCCCCTGGAGAGTTGACTTAGTGGTTAAGAGCAGGTATTGCTCTTGCAGAGATCCTCAATTCATTTCCCAGCACCCATATCAAGTGGCTCACAACTGCTAATAACTCCAGCTCCAGAGGATCCGATACCCTCTTCAGGACTAAGGGCACTAGCCCACACACACACATAAACATAATTTTAAAAAATAATAAAAATAGCCAGGCATGGTGGCACACGCCTTTAATTCCAACACTTGGGAGGCAGAGGTAGGCGAATCTCTGAGTTCAAGGCCAGCCTGGTCTACATAGTGAGTTCCAAGACATCTGGGGCTACAGGGAGACCCTGTCTCAAAAAGACAAAAAAAAAATAGTAATAATAATAATAATAAATAAATCTTTAAATGAGGCGGCTCTTGCAGAGGACCTGGGTTTGGGTCCCTGCACCCACATGACAGCTAACAATTGTCTATAACTGTGCTCTCAAGGGGATCCAACACCACCTCTGGCCTCCACAGGCACTGTACAAATGTGGTACACTTACATGCAGGCAAAAACACAGGTGCACACTTTTCAAAAAGAATAGCTATCACCTATTTGAGCACCAATCCTGGATCTGCCACAGCTCCTCCAGCCCAACACAGCATAGAAGTTACCATGTTCCACTCCCACCTTCTGAGTGAAAAGCCAAAGGCATCATGCACACTCAAAACAATGGCCCAGAAATGACCTGGGAGGAGAGGGCTTGACAATATTTATTAAATACTATTTAACTTTTTCTTATTTTTATAGCAAAAATATGTAACTATACAGTGCAGAGCTGTAATTAGCCTCAGACAACCAATAATATTCCTTCCCAAAAGAGGGATGCTTATGTTTCAATTAGCCTCTGCAGATAAAATGAATCTTTTGGAAATAATGAAACTAGTTGGTAGACCCCATTCCCAACTCTGCCAAATTCCTAAGGACTAAGGTCCCTGGATGGGAAGCAGGAAATTAAGGGCTTGCTTCCCAGGACACACCTTGGCACAACTTACAACCTCAGACTCTGGATGGGCCACCCAGTCCCAAGAGCCCAGCAATTACAGACAGCTGCCTACAAATAACCCAATGTCAGGGATGGACCTCCAGTGTGCTTGGAGAAGGACCAACAATCAAGACTACAGTCAGATGAGGGTTTATACCTGGCACAGAAAAGGCCCATCCATCCTCAACTGTAAATACCATGTTCCCCTGGGTCAGGCCAGAAAACAAAGCAATGGGCTCCAGACTGGGAAGCCAGCAGGATCCCAATCATGCCTATAGTTGGTGCTGTGGCCCCATGCTGACATCTGCAGCTGTTTCTCTTCCACTTGGACATGTTCTGCGTTGGGCTGGAAACTGCTGCCAAAATCCTGTCAGGCCTCCAGGCTGGAGAGGCTGGGTGGTGGCCACTGCACGGTTCCAGTTTTTGTTGGAGCAAGACTCTCCAAATGCCAGTTCCACCGAGGACAGCAGGACATGGGAAGCTACCACAGGACCCATTTCAAGGACAGAAGGCACACACCCAAAAAGGCCATGCAGTATATACAAGGGGCTGGGCTCCAATGCAATTAGCAGTTTGGTGGCAGAGGCCTATATCATGAACCAATTGCCTTAGGGATGAATGTGAGGGGGAGCTGCACCTTAAATACACAGATACTGCTATAAGGTCTGGCATTTTAACAAGAGCTACTTGCTTACCACTCTCATCATTCACCATAATTATCAAATCACTAGGCCAGGTCAGACATAATCATAAAGCATCATTATGGTTTTTGTTTTGTTTTGTTTGGGGTTTTTTTTTTATTGTCTTTTTGAGACAGGGTCTCACTGTAGTTCCAGCTGACCTGAACTCACTATGTAGACCAGGCTGGCCCTGAACTCACAACGATCCACCTGCCTCTGCCTCCCGAGTGCTGGGATTAAAGGCGTGCGCCACCACGTCCTGGTGCATCATTATGTTTTATACTGAATTAACCTTATGACAAAAGTTACTTCCAAGCAACTGCCATTCCTATCCCCCACAACCACCACTAGCATCCCCTGTGCTAACACAGAACTCAACTTGGTGGCACTACAGCTTAACCTTCCAGCTGGACAGACAGGAACATATGCGGAAGAAAATGGGTCATCACAGCAAAGGTTACTCTGGATGGACACTTTTTTTATTACATGTGTGTGTGTGTGTTTGTCTTAGAGGACCTCTTGCAGGAGTTGGTTTTCTCTCCTTCCACTATATGGGTTCTGGGGATTGAATTCAGGTCTTCAGGCTTGGTGGCAAGCATATTTATTTACCCACAGAGCCACTTTGCACACTCTTATTGGGAGTTTCCTCAACTTTAAAAGCCAAACTTTAAAAACTGCTGCAGGACAAAACTGTGTACTCAAGCAAACAAGAGCCATTTATTGAGCACATACTAACTCAGGAGGAAACTTTGAGGGAAAGAAAAGTACCAATGATTAATTTTGTCTGATAAGTAAAAGAGCCTGAAGCTCAAGTTGAGTGCCTCAAACCCAGATCGTGGCCTTCCCAAGCTCAAGACAGGTGGCTTTACTTCCCTCCAGGTAGAGTTGAAACCTTATTACCTCCCTAAGAAATAAGAGAAAAACTCCTCTGGAGGCTACTTTCTGCCTCCTATTTCACTCTCAGTTCTTATCTAACCTTCAGATCTGGCCACAGCCCACCTCTGCACTAACCCTGAGTCCAACGTCCCTCCAGTTCGTCTCCCCAACTCTACATCTTCCCAAAGACACAGCCACAGTTCAGACAAACAGCCAAAATTCCACGTGGCTGTTTCAAGTTCCTGGATCTCCTATTTTCTCCATGCCCCGCATAGCAGCAAAGCTTTGCTGTCTCATTTGGAGCTTTTAATCTGCTGATCACTTAGGAGACCAGGAATTAAAACAACCCTGTTTGCCTCAAATTGTTCATCCCTGAGGGCCTACCCAAATTTCACCTTCTTTCTAGATCTTCCCAGCCCTCCTTTCTGAATTCCTACATGCTACTTGTACAGCACATCACGACAGCTCCATAAGTGCCTTGACAACTTCACATCAAAGCTGTTCTGACATGTCTGAGGTGAAGTTCCTTGAAAGCAGGGCCAGTATCCTTCCCATCTCACACTACATCAAGCATTCTTTCAAGGCTTCCAGAGTTCAATCTATAGTGTAATACCTAAGCTAAGGGGCTAGACTTCAGGCACAGTCTCGGTACAAAATTCCCTCCCACAGTATGAAGGGGGCTCTTCTTTAAGTAGTCTGCTAGTTCCTCAGCAGACACTGCTTGACATTTATTTTGGCTGCCTGGAAGCCAACTAACTTTTGGTGCTCAGCTACACTGCGAAAATATAGGGTGGCCAGAGAGCTGAGATGCAGGCAGCAGTAGTATTAAACACCATCCTGTTAAAGCTCAGGGAAGGGCAAGGGCTCATAAGCCACCTACGAAGAACCTGAACTTCACATCACACTAGGCAAGTCCTGTGTCTGCCCTCAGAGCCCCAAGCAGGTTGAGCTAGTTAATAATTATCTGGCTTTGATTAAGTTGCCTCTTAATAGACAGCAATGCAAGGTACAATAAATGATGTTTAATGAAAACAGACACACCAGTGACTCTTGGAACTGGATTTTTTTTATCCCTGGAGAACAAATGGGAAGCCTACAAAATGCTTGGCTGTATCAACCTTACCGGAAAAGATCTGGTTACAGCCCTGCAGTATGGCACTCAGATGTTTCTCCAGGCCTTGGCTTTCTCTGACCTGCCTGACATGCAAAGGGCCTCAGCTATTTAAAGCATTACATTTAAAAAATCATGTTTTTATACTGACCCAAAGCCTGGTAGGCTCCAAGAACAACAAAGCAGGACTTACTGCCATTGTCGTCAGAATCCTCACTGCTGCTGGGAAGGCGACCTCGTTTCATGATCTCCCCGGGAAACAGCAGGCAGCCTGCAAAGCAATGAGACAGCACTTAACCCAAGATGGTAACAAGCAATCATCAAGTTGTGCTTCAGATGGCAGCCAGGATGCTGCAAACAAAAGCAAACACAGGGCCTGAAGTAGCATTTGAATTGCAAACAGTGAAAAGACCAAAGACACATAATTAGCTGCAATCATTAACAGACCAGGTTAGGTGGAGGAGGAGGAGGAGGGGTGGCCCAGTCACATGTGGGCAGGTCTCCCAGAGGTGTCAGCCTTCCCTTCACAGTCCCCAGACATCATTGCAACTACTCAAGGAGTCTCTTTAGCAGACTGGCAGCAAGCACTGCAGGAAAAAAAAATCCACAGCAGTGAGCACTGCTTGTTTGCTCACTAGACAGACTCATGCTCTATGTGCACGTGGGGCGGGGATGGGCCGTGCCTAGTGTGCCAGTGTTTACTCTGCACTGGGCAGGATTATGCTTCTTTGGCAAATCTTGCTAAAATAAGCCCAGTAACCTCGAGTTCTAGAAACAACAAATGGGGTAATGGGGAGGCGAGTATCCTCTCCCCATTTCCAACCCCTCCGCAGTTCACAGCCCGAGCTGGAAGAAACAGTCCTCATGAATTCTGGTCCAAACCCCTCCCTTTTACTCCTGTGGAAGGGACTTTAAAAGCAAAGCAGCTAAACATCAACTTCTTGGAGGTCACATTAGGGACATGAAACTTCTAACTAAAAGCCTAGTGCTGTTCCCTACTCTACTCCACTCAACTCCTTTCTGGACAGGTACAGCCTGGTAAAACTAATTTTAAAAAAAAAAAGTCAGGCAGTACAAATATCCAGCCCACCTGGTCAACCCCTCCCCACCTAGCTGGTAGTAAGTGGAAAGACTGCATTTATGAAAGAGGATAGTGGGCCGACACTAAATGGACAGTTACTAAACCTGTAGAGATAAAGCTAATAGCACACAGCTACTGTTTAAATAAATCCAAAAAGCTTCTCCAAACTAAAGTTACTGACTGCCTTGACATCTGCAGGGCCTTAATGCCAGCTCTGTGACTCCCAAAGAGGAAGGACAGCATTTTCAAGTTACCTACCCATTCAATCCCTCAGGAAATATGCCACCCCACTTCTCACTGGAAGTCACCACATGTGTGATATGGTGTGTTTCCATTGAAAATGCAGCACAGGAATAGTGTGGAGAACCAATGCCCTAGAACAAGACTATAATTAAAAACCCAAAGCTCTACTCTGAACAGACCAGTAAAGGGGCAGTTAAAAGGCAGAAGAAACATGCTACAGGGGACCAAAATATATCACTTTGGTCTAAGGATTATTTTGAGCAGACAGCAATTGACAACTAGCACTGGAGAGGTTCTCTCTGCCTTCTCCATACCTGACCAACAGCAAGGCATAAATTTCTCTTTTGTAAAGGAAATTTCCACTTATAAAGCTGCCCCCCAAATACAGCTCTTATGTGTAATCTTCAACTACCATTAATTTTACCCACATACTTCATTTTCCTACAACTTGCCATCCTTGAAATGAAAATCCTCTTTTCCTCTGTCTAGTCCTTTAACAAGCGATTATCCTTTTTAAAATAGTATATAAGGGGCTGGAGAGATTGTTCTGCAGTTAAGGAGAGATAGTTCTGCAGTTAAGAGCACAATTTTTTTTTTTTTGTGGTATTTTTAAGAAAGGGTCTTCCTGTAGCCCCAGCTGGCCTGGAACTCACTATGTAAACCAGGCTAGCCTCAAATTCAGAGATCCGCTAGCCCTCTGCCTCCCAAGTGCTGGGATCAAAGGTGTGTGCCACCACACATGGCTGCATACTGCTCTTGTAGAGGACCGAAGTTTGGTTCCCAGCACGCATGTCAGGCCTGTACCTCCAGCTCCAAAGGAATGCATCGCCTCTTGGCCTCCAAAGGTATCGGCACTCATATACATATACATATACACGCACACGCACACGCACACACACAATTATTAAAAATAAAATAAATCTGATACAGAGAGATGACTCAGCAGCAGTTAAAAAGCACCAGTTGTTCTTGGAGGACCTGGGTTTTCCAGCACTCACATGAAGCAGCTCACAATCACATGTAACAACTTCAGTCCCAAGAGACATGATGCCCTCTTTTGGCCTCCTTGGTCACCAGGCATGTACATGGTGTGTACACATATAAGCAGGCACTTACATACACACTAAATAAATGTTTAAAAATAAATAAATAAAAATCTTGAAAAAAATAGTTTATGAGCCCTGAATCCAATGTGCTTGGGGCTTTTCACTTCTTTAAAGTAACATACACCTCACACATTGTTTAAAACCATCAATAAAGTTTATATGCCTTTTTTCCTACAACTTTTTGTCAGAAATTCATAGACACCATTAATTTAACCTAAGCAGTAAAGTTTTTCAAAATGACAGTACAGTGCAATGTTTCCCTTATTAAATGAACCCATGATTCATTCAAGCACTGGAGAGATAGAAACAGGAAGATCACTAGGGCTCAGTGGCTGGGCTGCCAGCCTAGCCTAATCAGTGAGCCCCAGATCAGGAAGAGATTCTGTCTCAAAAAACAAGGTGGACAGCTCCTAAGGAGACCACCTGCACATAAACACACGTGCACATACACACACGATGCACAGGCACATAAACAGGCACACGCAAACAACTATTAAAGGAATTTACCATGAGGACCAGGACACACTCTGGGGGCTACAGTTTCACAGAATGGGCAGTCACAATACAAAGACCATTTCTTTTTCCCAGAATTCTACTAACCTAAAACTCCCAAAACTCCACAATCTAACAACCTCACCACTTCCATCCAAAGTTTCCAAGCAGACATACACCTGTGAATCACTCACTCCCCACTTGAAAAGACCATCTTCCCTGTCATGTATGTGCCCCAAACTCCACGTGCTGACAATTAAATTCTCCTTCAACCTTCAAGAAGACACCCCTGCTCCCCCGGGACAGAGGAAAATGAGAAACACCACTCATTCCCTACAAAAGCTTCAGCTCTCCAAAGCCTAAATTCCAAGGAATTTTAAAAGTTAAAAATTATCACCTAAAAAGGAATCCCTTAAAAGTAAGGCTGTGATGGTGGCCACCCAGACAGAACGTAGTTTACCACCTCTTGAGCAGGTGTGAGAACTACAATGGGTTGAGGAAGCCCAGAGAACACCTGCCAACTAAAAACAAGGAAACAATACTTACTCCATTTTCAGTGACTCAAATTTACCTACACAGAACAGCTTGGAGAACTTGAAATCACTCTCAACCAAAATGCCTTCCACCCAGCTTTCAAACAACACTCAGAGAAAGCAGAGCAGCAGTTGCTAGATGAAAAATGCAAACACAGGTCAAATTAGACTGGTGTCCCATACACAAGTACTTGAGCAAATCAAGCAAGTTAAACTAGTCTTTTCCTTCTAATGAAGTTCATTTTCACTGGCCCTGAAGATCCTGAAGTTCCTGAAGAATGAAAGCTGAGAGGCGTGCTTTGCCTCTCTTGGGACTCTGACCAGTGATGGGGGTTAATGCTCAGCAAAACTTCCTCCTCTGTGGCTCTAATGTAGTTAAGCCTTGACATCACACTGATTTATCTCACCCAGGGTTACCTGCAGTATCAGAAAATCAAAGTCCATGTTACTATCTTTAAAATTCACAGAAGACTACACATTGCAAGCATCTGTCCACTAAAAGCCAGCACAAAACCAAGACCTTCTGTGTCAATACCTCCCCAGTCCTTCTAGAGCAGTGGCTGATTGCTACCTACCTAGGCAGTAGGGAGCAAAGTCATAATCAACTAAAGGGCTACTCACAACACTCCAGAGAAAGCATCAAGCTGACCTAACAGCACACACTGCATTCCACAAACACCTGAACAGGTGGAGCAGGAGAAAACCATGTCCCTGGATTCAGGCAGCTCCTGGCCTACCTGAATGAAGACAAGCAGGGAACAAGATACCAGCACCCTTGGTGCTAGACAGTGCTCGTGAAAACAGGTCTATATGAACCCAGAAATTGAAAGAGTCTAAGGAAGATGAACCAAGACAAGGTAACCAACGCATCCAAGGCAAAATACCTTCACATGCCCAGCATGTTACTCTGGGCACACCTTCATACTTTTTCTTTTTCTTTTTCAAGGGGGGGAGGGGCTTCTGGTTTTGGTGATTTTTTTTTTTTTTTTTTTTTTTTTGGTTTTTTTTTTTTTAGTGGATCTGGATACCTTCTAGCAATAGTTTTCAGCCAGGGAGGATTTGTCCCCACAGAGGACAGTTGGTAAGCTCTGGAGGCAGGCTTGCCACTTATTTTTTTTTTTGTGCGGGGGGGGTGGTGTTTTTTTTTGGTGTTTTTTTTTTTTTTTTTTTGCTTGGTTGGTTTTTTTGAGAAAGGATCTCCCTGTACCTCCAGCTGACCTGGAACTCTCTACACAGACCAAACTGGCCTCATAGATATCTGCCTGCCTCCTGCCTCAGTGCTGGGATTAATGGTGTGCACCACTACACCTGGTTCAGAATTTTTCTTCACAATAGACATACCCTCTTTATATATGATTGCTGAGGTTTAGTGATTGACACTGTATGATTCAGTCAAGTCCCCCTACTTACTCATGGGTTTGGTCTTGAACCACTGTCTTGGTTTGGATGCATCTTCAGAAAAGAAAACTTCATCCCTGGTATAAAAGTGTTGGGGTAGAGCCTCATGGGAGATATTCAGAGGCACAGCCCTCATGAGTGGATGGATTACTTCCATTTTCAGGGTGGGTGTTACAGAAGTCAGTTTGGCCAGTTTGGTCCCTTCTTGCTCACTCACCAAAGAATGTCTTCTACCATTAGGAAGACCCTCATCAGATGAGGTCCCTCATCCTTAGACTTTCCAGTCTCCAGACCAGGAGCCAAATAAACTTCTAGTGCCTATTACTTGTCTAGCCTCTGACAACAGAAAACAGACTAAACCATCTACTTCCATCCTAGATTTCCTTCACACTATCAACTACAACAAATGAATAATCCC